TGTCTACCCAAATCCGTCAAATTGATTATTTTTGCCACAGGCAACCCAGTGACTAGAAACATCTAGTAGCTCATAGAATGTGTATTGTGTACGTGTCTATTGTGAGCTGTCACATAATTTTTTCCAATAATAACCCTTACTTTGTTTGCACGCGCGCGAGCTTTCGTGTCCGCAGCGCGCGCAAGATGCATACGTTAAACTTCCCAAAGTTTGAAATTTTTGTACCAAGCTAAATGGATAAACAATGCTGGCTGCCAGCTCAACAAAATACAAAGTACGAGAAGCAYAGTTTCAATATTCTGCGCTTTGCTAATCGAGTCGAACAATTTTCACAAACCTTCGAAAATCTTGGTGGGGCAATGGGAGCGCTGTTCAGCTCGTTTATACGAAAAAGACAGCAGCGTAAAGCGAGTAGGAAGTAAGTTTTTAAAATCGAACATTCATCGTTCAATAATTTAGAAAATTTTGCGTAATGAAGGTAGTGCCGGTGTCTTGAAGTTTTATTTCTTTGAGCTACTGTGCTACGAATCAACATGTGGTGCCAGAACCCTTGTGCCTCTGGCGAGACCAGTTGCATGTGAAGGATTGCGTTTTGCACAGTGAAAGACAACAACAAAATATTGCAACGCAGGCAAGCTGAGCCTGCATGCATGTTGCAAAAMATTATACACATTATACACATGCACACTGCTATAAAATCGTTTTAAGTACCTATGAAGATGTCTCGCACGGAAGGGCCTAGATGTTTGCTATCCCAAACGTTACACTTCAAATTCACCGACCGCGCAACTTAAACTTATTTGTTAAACAAGAACGGAGCCTTTAAAACCTCTCTACTTTGCTAATACTGGGAAAACTGGGAAAACTATGTTGCACTAAATTTACAATGAATTCTTGTGCGTGGAGCTAGTGCCTTACTTCATTTTGCAAGGCTGTGACTAATTCACGTTAATGCAAGGTATGAATACAAATCAGAGTGACGCGACTTTTGCTGTATACGAGCTAAAGTAAGGAAAATTCTTTTTGTATCATGGATGATATGTCCTGCAACTTTTAACGTAAAATAAACGTTGCGCTACCAGTTGCAGAGCAACTGATTTTAGCGTTAATTTTAGCGGATTTTAGCGTTAATTTTCATTATAAGAGCAAAAGTTGCCTAATATACCACTCCGCGCACTTTGTAAAGAGAAGATACGAGTTCCAGAATTTGGCACAGCAGAAAGAAATCTTTTGCTGCATGAAAAAGTATCGATTGATTCAGAAGGTTCGACTACTTATTGTTGAAAAGTTCCGTTTTTTTCTCATTTCTTTTTAAGTTTGATAAAGGAGAATTTGAAGCAGTTACGAGAGTATGGCTTAGCACTTGATAGAGAGCTTGAGTTCGCAAATGGGTAAGTAATAAGCAATGAAGTACGTGGCGGGGCCTCAGGAACGGCTTCGAGTCGATCGAGTTCCGAAAATTAGAGAAAATGTTATTAGACTGAAAAAAGCTGACAGCACCGTGACCGTGACGGTAGGGTGTCGGTGCGCTTTTATTGGCTTAGAGGTGTAATGTGATTGGTATAAAGGATGTTGTAATGTGTCCATACCTTTACAGCTTAGGCGGCATGCAGCCCCACTTTAACTCAAAGTTAAAGTAGAGCTGCACGTAGGCTAGATCTTTTCTATTCAAGACAGGCACACGGTGCTTTCGCAAACCAAATGAAATTTTCCCTGCAATTTTCTTTCTTTCCTGTTGCTTACTCTACAAGTTGTAGTGAATTTTCCTTTTTAAGGCATATCCAAGAGCTACTTAACCAAGATTTCCCTGGTTCTTCAATATCGCTGAGTTCCCTATCAGACCATCTTGACAGCCTCTCCCTCTGTTCTATGCAAGATGTTCTTGAAGGTGGTGTAAGAATGGCGTGCTCGTCAAAAGACAAAGAAAACAATAGTGCTGTTGGTGAATACTTAATCTTGGCCGAGGAGAGATGTCAGGTTCTGGATGAAAATATAAGGTACTCAGTATTGACAATAAAATATTCATATTCTCTTGGTATTGATGTATTTATGAAACTATGGTTGGGAATTTGCGTTAAATATTGCGTGACCGTGTCGTGTGCGTGAAGACTGCGTTATACTTTCGCACACAAAAATATGAAATTATATTACTGTATGACCATCATTTCACAAAACTGTATTCAGAAATAAAAAGAATCGAAACCACAATGCATTAATTCGTCGAAGCTTGACATTATTCAAATTTTATTTAAATCTTAATATTTTATCGATACTCCAAAACAACCTCAGGGCTTGGGCGGATCAAAGCCAGGGTACGGCTAAACTCACGTGCACAGATCGAAATAGAATGTAATTTGTTACGTCGAAACGAAGTTCACTTCTCTCGACCCAAAGCCTCAATAAATGAAATACATTCAAAATCAAAATAAGGCTTTTGACATTTATTTTCAAACTTTTTTTTTTTTTTTTGGTTTTTTACAGACTCCTCGATGACCGTAGAGAAGAGATCAACCGAAACATCCAAGAAAGCTGCGCAAGACTAAAACACATTCATACGAAAGCAGAATCTTTTCGCTTTCGTCACTTCGTATCAAAGCACCCCATTGATTCCTGGAGCGTAGTGTCAACGCCCTTTTAAGTCTAAGGTGTAACTCAACATGATGTAGGAATTTTCGTGTTTCTTTTGTTTTGTAATTGCTCTTCCATGAGTCGGACACATCATTTTTTCATACTCCTTAAATACGGGATCGAAATTGTATTCCAGTGCATTGTGGGCTGTTTTAGGGGACAAGATAGACGCCATCTTGGAATGTCGCCGAAAACAGTCCCACAATGCACTGCAATACCAACTCGACCCAGTAATTCCATCAATTCCGAATGGCTAATCAGTACTTGCGAGAAAATTTTATTTCAACATTTCTACAAAATTTTCAGTTCTGAAGCGTTTATTACCACTGAAAAATGGTATTCATTTGAACTTATGTCACTGGGGTCAGCCAAATGTACATTCATTTTGATGCATATTGCTTTCAATACTCTTACACAAACATATCTCATCATGTCAGAGTAATATTCCCTCCATACTGTTAATGTTAAAACAATCACGGATAATTTAACGCTAAGACTCTGTCAAAACTTTCCATCAACGAGCACTGTGCCGTAACACTAGGGCCGCCGGTATTCAAGTGTTCTGTTTTATCCAGCTGTGACATAGCGCGCTTCGATTGGCTCAGTGGAAGCGGAATCGTTAGAGCAAAGCCGAGCCTAGTACGTCACTTTCGGGATGCTGTGAATATTAACGGTACTAAACGAGATACCCAGTAAGCTGTTAAAAATTCTGCGTCACAACTAGGCACGCCCTGGGACTGACATTCCTAACATTTCAGTTTTTTGACGACAGAATTACTTGTGCTATAAATATACCAAGGATAACTTCCTTGTTTCGATTGTGCTTTGTCACGGTTCTGCGCGTGAACTGAGATCTTCCTTGCGGATGGAATGGATAGAAGCTCGTAACTCATCATAAGGTCGAAAGTAGTTTGTTTACGGATGCCTTGTGACAGTCAAAGGCAGCCGTACAAAGGGATGGACCATTAAATAATTGAGGGGGGAGGGGGTCAGGAATTTATGTTAATTTATGATATGATATCTACCATGCACGCAATTCTTTTTGTGTGTTCGCTCGATATCTCTTAGTCTTTTCTGGAAGGAGATGTTGCGCGATATTTTCTTTTTTTTTTTTTTTTTTTTTGTTTTATTGTAAGTGAAGTGCTTCCACGATATTTTTTAGAATTCACGCCACCCCCCTTAATCATCTAATTCTCCATATCTTACATTGAGAAAGACAACAACAAAAAAATGAAATTATGAAACCCTTAACTCGGTGCGCCTCATAGGCGCCCTACTGCGATATGGAACATCAATAGCATCAAATCTAGCCTCCTCGGCAGACGCGCACCATAAATGAGGCCTGAAAAGATAAGCCTAGTCGATCGAACTTTTCCCTCTATTCAATGTTCGACGTTAAGGGGGTAAAGCCATTTGTTTCACATGCCACTAGGATTCGTATTTAGTAATAGATATTTCAAAAAGCTTTATATTTTTTGCTCATTGTATCCCGATTGAACCGATTATGCACATTGATAACGGCAAATGAATTGCAGACATAATATAATTGAACGTCAAATATTGACGTTATTCCTCAATCTTTTAGTCAATAGTTCGACCCACAACGTGGCATTTGAACACGTTTCATGGCTAAATAATTTCTCAAAAAGGCCACGCAGACGAGTATTGAATAATTTAATATCTCAAAAATATTTTATCAAAGTCACGTAATGCAATCTATTGACTTAAATGATCAAAAATAGTTTTGGATTACTATTATTATTATTACTACTACTACTATTATTATTATTATTATTATTATTATTATTATTATTATTATTTTACTAAAAAACCGGGCCTAATATAAAAATGTTTTAAAATATAAATGCTGTCTTTGATCTTTAGATTTTTACATCCAAAAAAGTTTTCGATAGATTTTTCATTAAAATGGAAAATATATCCAGAAATAATAATGAAATATTAAATTATGGAGATTAAAAAGCAACGAAAATAAGATAATTTAAGTTCTATATTTTATCTATTTATGCAAGCATTCAAGTTCAAGCTTCTATTTTCTTTTTTGTACAAAGTTCAATCAAAAATATTTTACCACAAAATTTTTTAAATACTTTTTGAAATACTATCGGCCTCTTGATGATATCATAATGAAAATTAGGTGATGTCACCTTAGCTATATTTGAAGATGTCGAAATAACGGCTAACGTGACATGAGTCATATACTCCCTCACGATCGGCTAATGACCCCACATAAAGAATTTTCTAGGAAAATAAGTTTAATTTTTCGGTCTTAAGATTCGCGTATTGTTCTCGAAAATGATTTTCGTACATCTTTGCATCGATTTTAATCATTATAACAAGCTATAGATCTTAAATGAATGTATAGAAGGAGTACAAAAGTTGTTACGAGTGCAAATACATTTGATTTAGAAAATGCGTTTCCAAGGGGACCCCTCCCCTTGTAAACAATGAGCCTGGGCCCGAACGAAGCATGCGCAGTAGGGTTTGTTTAATAGTTAGCAATTATGTTAATTTCCTCAAACATTCCAAGCGTAAGTTTAAAATTACGTGTCTTTAGCCGTCCTTATTACTCATTTTCCAGCCAATGCAGCATTACAAACCTTGCAGTGAGAGCCGCTAAGCAAGTGACATGATAACGATGGCTCACGTTCAAGGGAAAAAAGGATCTTTGCCGAGAAAAGGCAAGCACTGGTCGCAACGCGTCCGAGAAGCGGTCGTCGTAAGAAGTTCTGATGGGAGCTTTAATTTGAAGATAGACGGTGGCGCCGAGAACGGCGAATTTATTGTTATCGGCGGAATAAAAGAAGACAAAGTTAAATACAAGAAAGGAAAACTCTTATGCGATGATATTGTGCTGGAGATTAATAATCAGCCTGTTGCAGGATATACAAGACCCGATGTGTYGACGCTGATCAACAAAAATGGAGGGGACGCGGTATCGATGAGAACCGTAAAACCAGGTACGATTCTTTGTTTATACGCAGACGCTGGACGCATTTACTGTCCGATCTCTCTCAAAATAAAATATTTCATATTTTAAAGTGTAAATTGATTGGCTGTGAAGTTTTTAATGTTATAGATAGTTCATAAAGTGTTGAAAAAATTCTAAAGAAGTTGTACTCAGGGGTGTGTGCGTTATTGTAGAGCAAAGCTTCCACACTTCACTGGTTTAAATCTTCCATTTTGATCGACGGCTTGTGTTGTGTATTGACTTAGTTATCAATTATTGTAGACGCCAAATCTTCGGTACATAACTCGATGGCTTTTTCATTAAAGCTTTAATTTAGAGTTTTGCGAATTTAATTGATCAGACGCTCGTGAAGCTAACTGAACTTGTCTTAAACTTTGTTATTTATTTTGTTATAGGACATGGAATCACCCGAGATCTTCGCGAATATTTGGCAGCACGATTCGAGAAGAACACCATTGATAATGATCTACAGCAAACTATACGAGAAAATCTTTACAGAAGAACAGTTCCTTGTGAGTATATTTTCTCTACTAAAAGGCAACAGCGCCTTTGATTTATGATTGATGAAAAACTATGCGCTGAAAACCTTATGTAATATGGCTTAGAAAACCTGGTTCTCCTTTGTTTTGAACTCTAATTTTCTCCACTGAATTGCGCAAAATAGTTATAGATGCAAGCAAAGCCTAAAAAAGATAATAGCTTAGCTATTTGGGTAGTTTCCTGTGTGGTTTTGAACTTGTTCTTCGTCGGACTCCGTTAGTTAAACGTTCTGATATTTGACACTTGTAGATCGAGTCAGCTTTCTCTCGTTTGCATTTATTCGAAAATGATTAGCTAGATTGCATACTTCGTATATTGTGATCACCTCGATGTAACTATCGCTAATAAAGTCGTTTTGTTTCGCTAAACCTCTTAAAAAGCTCGCAAAAACCTCCATTGTCCAACTTCGGTAAACTTTACGGGTGGAATAATTGTTTCAATATATTTTTTTCAAGGGTTGTTTCAGGGGCTTTAAAGTCTGGAATTTAAAGAGCTCTTACAGTCAGGATTCGAAAGCTTTACGCTCTCTCCTTTAGAGAGGAAAATTTTGTTATTTTAGGATTCATTTGGTTAAGCTCTATCTCTTTTTAGTATCTGATTGGAATGTTGCACCGCATTCCTTCCCCTCACGCAATCTGACGCTTTTTCTGCATGGTTAACTGCATAGAACGTAAGCACTGATAAAAAAGTACCCTGATCCTGTAGATGCCGTCCAATTGCTGTTCTTTTACTCCTTCTTATCTGTTTGCCAGACAACTTAAGACAAAAATGCATTCCAATTTATTAGGTCTAACATTGATGCTTGAAGAAGTCTATAAGATGTAATGAAAGTTGATACCATTTAATTTATAGGAAGATATTTAATATAAGCTACATATATCGAATTGATATGACTATTTTAAGTTCAAGTTTCAGACTGTTTTTGATCACTTTACATGATTTCTTTAAGATTCGTGTTGTTTAGTCTGCTCTTTGTCATGTTTTGCATTTTGCATTTTGCATTTCTTTGAATATAAACATGATTAACATTCATATTTTCAATAAGAGTTTTTCACATAAACACATAGTACATTTAAAAATTTGCTTCTGTATGGTTGCCCTATAGTGATTTGCTGTTGTTGCGATTTTGTACAAAATTTGGAAACTGCATTAATGAAATGAAATTTAAAGTACCTTATTAATCATGGATCATTATCATTATTAAGTAAATAGTTGCTCTTTTCATTAGGTATTGACTATTATTGATGTCTTTATCCACAGTTTGTAAAAAAATTAGATTTTCCAACATTCATTCTTGGTAGGGCTTAAAGTTATGAAGTTCCAGCATAAATCTATTTAGCTGAGTTGATTGTTCAATCAAAATTAAGCTTCAGTGTAATCCACTTTTTCAGGAGCTCGAGGGTTTTCCGGGTTCTCCGGTTTTCCTCCCTCCGCAAAAATCAACCCCTAAATTCCAATTCGATCACGGAATGAAGGCCACAGATTTGTTAGCCACTGGCTATTAAGTGCTTCCCTCGTGGAAAAAGGATGGTGGTTTTTGCACAAGTTGTCTCATGTTATATTGTCTAGCCATCCATGTTGATCTGTTGTTTTGGTTCTTGAGGTTTTAACAAAAAAGAAATTGATAGTGATTGTGCTTGTGTTTGTAACTGTTTAAAGGTACTACACGAGGGCCTCGTAATGGTGAAATTCCCGACGTAGACTATGTATTTCTATCGATGGATGAGTTTCTACAGTTGGAGAGAAGTGGTGCGCTATTAGAAAGTGGCATCTATGATGGGAATCATTATGGGACTCCCAAACCACCCAAATTACCAGTGGGTACCTTGACTCGTAAACATCCGCAACAACAGTCTGTGACTAGGATGTCAAGAAGTCATGAAGTTCTACCAGACTACAATGACAGATCAGCTGATTTTCCTGGACCACTGCCACCAAACTGGGAAATCGCATATACAGAATCAAATGAAAAATACTTTATCAAGTGAGTATCTGTTTGTTGGGTATCAAGGGTGGAGTTGCACACAGCAGTGCACTTGTCGCTCACTTCTGGTCTCTTAAGTTACGTTCCTGCTTTTGGAATAATGTTGGATGGAAGTTTGTTTGGTCTCTCTCTTGATATGAAGGATTTTGTGGTCTCAGGTATCCCTTTCTCTACAAAACTAACCTCACATTATAACTTCCAACTTGATTTGTGTGGTACCATGTCATGGCTAATGGTAGATGAGCTAAGAGGTTAATGTTTCAAGTTTGTCAGGACTGTTAGTATATTCTGCCTTTCAATAGAGCAGAGGCTGCCCACCAGAGTTCACCCCAAAACACCAACTTCCACTTTCTTCATATGTGCCTAATTTGTTACATCATTCCTTTATAGTCATGAAACTGGTACTACTCAATGGTTGGACCCAAGGCTTGCCAACTCTAGGAAAAACCGAGGAGAAGATTACAGTGAAGATGGTAATGTATAAACTCTATTGTATTATTGCTACAAAATTTTGTTAAACCAAATAAACTCTTTGTGGTGAAGCGTAATCTTCTGGGTGAGCGTAGTCTTGTGAAGGACTGTTGTTGGTGGTGACTGACATTTCGACAACCTGAGCAGAAGTCATCTTCAGAGTTTAGTGAGAAAACAAAAGATTGTCRATGGTATTTATGCCTCTGGTATAAATTCAACACCTGGGTTCAAACCATTTACTCAAATAAACTATGTAAATCAATATTAAATAATGTTAATAATAATCATTTTTGATTTTCAGAACTTCCTTATGGTTGGGAAAGGATTGACGATCCAAAGTATGGAACATACTATATAGAGTACGTATAGATAATTTACAAATTTTCATTTTTAAGAATGTTTACATTATTGATATACTGCATCCAAAATACAATGTGTTTGTCAAAGATGATAGGATTGAGTATCTACGACAAGAAGGAAAATCTTCTCAAAAAGCAGATTTGAATAGCACTGATGAAGCAATAAGAAACAATTAATAGACATTGCATTATTTAGTTCTATACATTTAGTGCAAAATTAAATTAGGCTTTTTCACAGAGAAGAGATTGCACTTCAGCTACTATACATGTAGTATTGCAAGAGCTTTCAGCCTTGTTGAAAAAACATGTTTGTCGAAATTAAAAATAAATAAACAAGATCAAGCTAAAAAGGAAAGGATAAAAGCTTTTCAAGATCCCTTGTATATGTGCATGTTTTAAAAATATGTCTTAATTACTGATGTTTTTAGTCATGAATCAAGGAAGACACAGTTTGAAAATCCTATGACTTCTGCACGTCGTCATCACGATGCCAATCAGAATTCTTACTATGATGAAGATCGCCCAGCTCCATATCGTGGACCACCAAGTTTCACTTCTGCTACTGCACACGCCAAGGCACAAGAAGCTGAAGCCATGTCAAGGTGAGATTTATTGTTGGTCGCTAGCTAGCTTAGGGAGGTTTCAGTAAAAAGAAGGCATGATGCATGAAAGCTTAAAAGATATACCAGATAGAAAAACTTGGAACATATAACAAGTTTATCAAATATCAATGTTCTCATTATACTGTAATCTTTCTATACTTAACTTTATACAGAGACTTTTTTTTTTTTGATAATTATTTTTTATTACAGGACAATTTACAACAAATACAAAAAAACAGTTACAATATAAATAGATATAAATAGCAAGAACTTTATACAGAGACTGACTGAGTGTGATTTCTCACTGGCTAGCAAGTCAAGACACTTATAGGTTCATTAGATTTGATAACATGAAAACAGGTTTAATTATCTTATTCATTGTTTTAAAACTTTTCATGGCTCCTATTGATAACAGTTATGTTATGTAACTGAAAGGGCTACCCTGTATAAATAAAGGTTCATTCATTCAACTTCAACTTGTATAAGATTATACATATATTATGATTACCCAACCGGAATAATAGACCGCATTCATAAACAACTTGAAGTCAGTCTGAATTCACAATTTTTGCTTTCATTCAAATGAAAACATTTTCAAAAATCTACATTTCTCTGATGACAATATATAGGTCGAAGACCTAGAATATCAGAGCTCACCCAGTATTGGTAATAGTAATATCGGAACTAATATCAATATGTTCCACTATCAATCTGATTGCATAAGTTTAATTATACATCAAGTTATACATAAATGATTACCCAACCGGAATTAGATGGTATAAACAACTTGAAATCTGAATTCACAATATATATTTGCTTTCATTCAAAATAATGAAAAAAATTTCAAGCATCTACATTTCTCTTGTGATACATCAAAGACCTGATATATTTTTTAAAATCTAAATATTTTTTAAAATCTAAATAAAATTATAGCTGAAGAAACAGCTTTGGTATTAATAATAAAAATATTTCACTATAGATCTGATTTTATAATTAAATTTTATATTTATGAATTCAAAGCAGACACAGCTGGCCAGCTGCTATCATTGTTTATGTTACCTAAATCTCTTAGGTTGTTTTGAAGAAACATTTAAAAAATAATAATCTATTTGATGAAGTTTGAAAAAAAATCACTTTTTTCTTTCTTTATTATGTGTTTCGTCAATAAACGAAATATTACAAGCTACGGTTTCAGAACTTTATTCTCTTCTTACATACATGAAGCTAGAAGCTAGTTGCGAGTTGGATATGCGAGTTGTTCGAAATCTAAAAAAAGCGAAGCAAAAATAAAGCATCACTCATATCTAGAAAAATATGTTCAAAGTTGAAGCGATCTGACTTACGCGGTAGCTTGCTCTGAAACTCGACGAACTGAATTTAAATTAGCGTCATTTACTTATATACTAATGCAGCTTAATCCGATAATTATAGTGTAGAGCTATAGCCACTTGAATTAAAAGTACCAATGTTCTCTGGAGCCTTGGCTTGTTACATGAGGCTCTTGGTGAGACAATGATTTTCGGAATAGGTGTATATCTAGCTCCAGGACTCTAACATCAGCCCCTTGTTGGTTTATTGTTCTAATATCCTAAATCTCTTGCTTCAGGTGGCCCCACATAGGCCTCGATCACAGCCAACCCCCAGCGTACTCTCCCAACCACATGGACCACAAAAAGCAAACATACAACATTGGTGGAAGACAGCTGGAAGGTGAATTGATAAGAACTACCCTCCTCAAGGGGTCCAGGGGTTTTGGTTTCACGATAATAGGAGGTGACGAACCAGGTGAACTTCTACAGATCAAGAGCATCGTAACTGATGGTGCTGCTGCTAAGGATGGAAAGCTTAGGACTGGAGATGCACTTGTAAGGTTGAACGGCCAGCCAGTTGTCTCAAAAACTCACCAGGAAGTAGTCAGTATATTCCAGGCAATGCCAATGAATGAAGGTGTAGAGCTTGAAATGATCCGTGGATATCCTCTTCCCTTTGATCCTGATGATCCTAACATTGAGACTATTGGATCATACACTGTCATGAGGTCACCTGGCAGCAGAGCTGATTCTCCAAGTTACAATCAAGGTGGGCTTCTACAGCCTGGAACAAAATTGGGTTTCCATAAGTCTGCATCAGACCAGAGCTTGACATCAAGCAATGCCTCTGGAGGGGGGAGACATTACCGTTCAGGTAAATCGAAAATATCTGTAAATTTTTGTGCATTAATGTAATTGTAATATTGTGGTCCAAAAATGCTGGATCCCAAATTGTTTTCCAGCCAAAACTTAGCAATCTAAGTCTAATTCAAAACTATCATAATTTGGTGCAAAATTGATGCTGGTGAATCTATTTCAATGAGAAAATTCCATTTACAAGTGTAAATCCGTTTCCAGTGCATTAAATCACCAAATTAAAAGCTGACATGCATTTTTGATTATTCTGCTGAGACAATTTGTTGGTAGGAAGCAATGATATCAGAAATTTCATTCAATCTATTTTACTTCCCTTAAACCAGGTGGAATAGGAACATTCCCACGAACTTCTACTTCTTCAACAATGTCAAGGAATGCTCCAGAGATACATTACGTCCGTGTCGTCAAGGGTCCCATGGGTTTTGGCTTCACTATTGCCGACAGTCCATATGGACAGAAAGTAAAACAGATCCTGGATGCCCCGAGATGTGCCGAGCTCCAAGAGGGTGATATTCTTCTTGAAATCAACAACAAACAGATCCGTAATTACAATCACAAGGAGGCTGTAGACATGTTACAACACTGCCCCAAAGGGCAAGAAGCTCTGATGGTCATTCAGAGAGGAGGTATTAAAAAATTATTGTGACTTATTAATATATACTTGAAAACTTTGTGTTTTCTGACAGTGTCATGGAAACACTTTGATTGACATCCACCAAAATCCTATTTTGTCACAATGGCAAATAGACCCCTTCACAGTTCCCTGCGCCATCTTGAAAGGTAGCCATGCCTTTGCACCGAAGCGAGACAAACGGTGAGCTTGCAATGATAGAGACCTTTTTTTTAACACCTTGGACAATTATTCACATGTCTCTATCATTGCAAGTTCACTGTCGACTCACTTTGATGCAAAGGCACGGCTCCCTTTCAATGAGGAGCAGGGAACTTTGAAGGTGACTATTGTATGATTCAGTGCTTGCCATTGAGAAGTACTATAGAATTTGTTGAAGTTTCAAGAGAAGTTGATAGAATTCATATTAAATATAACAAGTACTAATACCTAGATTATTGTTTTTAGGTATTCCAACCCCTTTGAAGAACAGTCCACTCGCTGGCAGAAGACAAGAGGTATGTACTTTATTAACAGTATGAGCAGTAACTCAATTTTTAATGAGTTCAGATTTTTTTTATAAACGTTTCTTAAATATTTTTAATATTTTGCCAAACCAAGGGGGAATGTTTTTTTTTGTCTTCATGCATTAAATAAACAGTATTTTGAGCTAGAAATTTAGTGATTTGTTAAACTAAGAAGTCAAGAACATTTGAAGGTTCTCGTTGCTTAAAATGGACTATTTTATATCAGAGATCTCGTCCAAAGTCCACACCACCAATGGGATACATGGATAATGACCAGAGACGTCCTTCGCAGTTTTCTGACAGAGCTGGCAGCTGGGGCAACCTTGCTACCTCAGGAGAGAGTACCAGGAATCAAGAGACTGGTTATGGCTACAGGGATAGTCAGAGTTATCCTTCCTTGAAAAGAGGGATGGGCGTAAGGAGGTATGTTAATGCTGTTTTCAAGGGTATAAGGAGAGATAAGGGTGGGGGGGGGGGTGGTCAATCTGGGACCAAGGAGGGGTGCGATGGGGGGATGGGGGTTGGTCTTCCTTCCCCCTTGCACATCCAAGTGCAAAACAGTTGTATGGCAGTGTTTTAGCTTCCAACCACACTATGTCCAAAATACTCAGGCCTTCTATTATCTACTTCTTGACCTGGTTTAAGCCGTGGTTTTGTTGACAGGCATCGTTATTTTAAACCTTGAGAAAAGTAAACTTCACTAAAAAAACTATAAATTGAAAAAGCTTGGGAAACTATAGGTTTAAATGTATAATTATCTTGTTCAGGTCTCAAGAACATCTGAACGGGCCGAGTGACGAGTATGAGGTGTTTACAACCAACATCAGGAAAGGTACCATGGGTTTTGGGTTCCGAGTCGTTGGCGGGAAAGAAGAAAATACACAGGTAGGAATTCTGCCAATCAAATGCTACCTTCTTGCATAGCATTTGCCTTCTTCTTATCACCTGTTGGATCTGATATTAACCAATCATTACTTGTGTTCTTACTAAGTTTCTATTGGTAATCCAACTGACTTAGACCAATTAATACTCGTGTTCTTTCTAGGTTTCTGTCGGTACTGTGGTACCTGGTAGTCCAGCTGATATGGATGGTCGACTTCAAGTTAGGGATGAAATCATCCGTGTCAATGATCAGAATGTGATTGGCTATAGCCACCATGAAGTGATCGCCTTGATACATGAGTCAGCCAATACTGGCAGAGTGTCTCTTGGGATCAAAAGGCCCCGAACATTATCCGGAAGTAAGTATTTCAGAAGTTGTACCCATTTGAGATGTTGTAGTCGTCACTATATCACGCTTATCCCACGCACTTGAGCAAGTTCGGTCTGACGGTGAAATATTCACATACCCTGAAATCTTTACATCCCGTACCGTGACCGTGTCGAATGGGTGTTCGATCATTTTGGTTGGATAAGCCTTGATCTGGTTGGTTGGCACTTTGTTTGGTTCAAAAGGTGTCGTCCATTTCGTACCGTGACAGTGACGTGTCATTTCGTAGTCACGCAAAATTTATTTTCTTTTTCCGCGGTTTCCGCGCACCACATTCACTATCAGTCATTATGGCTTTGCCAGGTCATGGTTAAAGCTACTGCACGGGTCACATATAAGAACAAGTTTACTAAACTGACGTGGCTAGGAAATCCACACTGGCGTGACAAGGAAAAACGTATAGGCGTGACTCTCAATAAGCCTTTTCATAGTTTAAGAATCGATTCCACTGCGCATGCGATTTTATCCCGAATTTCTCACCTTCTTTTGTTTAATTAAGAACAAAAGAAGGTTTAGACAAAAGAAGGTGAGAAATTCGGGATAAAATCGCATGCGCAGTGGAATCGATTCTTAAACTATGAAAAGGCTTATTTACTTCAATTCGGATTCAATTAGAAACGCAATGCTTAAATATGAAAACCACGAAAGTCACGCTTACCTTTTAACTTGTTTCTCCCGTCCTCATCGAGGTAGTCACTCGAGATTCAAACACTAATCTTAACGGTTTGTTTTCCAGGGTCCACTCCAGTACGTCGTTCTTTTGGTTCTAGCCAAGTTCGCGTCAGCTCACGTTCAGCCGGTGATTTGACCGAGTTTGGAAACAGGAATGGAAGGGGTTTTCAACCTCCTCCTCGTACCAGCTATGGCAAAGATAGAAGACGAAGCGAGTCAGACAAGAACGAACCAGATATTCCTGTCGGATACCGAGACGTCACTCTGACACGAGGACAAAAAGAAGGCTTTGGTTTTGTTATTCTTTCTTCTGTGCGAGAAAGTGGTTCGACTATTGGTGAGTGTCGTCCCCTTATATATTTGAGACATCCATCGTTGCCCTTATTGACTTCGCAGGCCTTTTTTATTTCGAAACGACGAATAATTCACCCATAATGTTACTCTCAAATAATGTACATCTAGACCTGAAGGCTCTCGGTGCTGACCAGGAGAAACGCAGGCTCTGGGGACAAGATTGCTGAAGCCGACACTAGTGAAACCTACTGCGCACATTCGCCAAACCACGAAAAGCCTCGGTTACTGGTCGGGAACGTCTCGCCGGAGAAAGCGATGAGGATAGATTTTCTCAAAACACACTCATTATAAGAGCCAACATAAAATGTCGGCGGGATTATCTGATTAGATCAAGAAGAATAAATGATAAATAAATGAGCCGCAATTATTTGTCACTTTTTATGTATTCCCGAATCTTTTTCTCATATACATTGTCTTGATATCTTCCTTATCGTTTTTCAGGGCGCATAATCCAAGGAAGTCCCGCTGACCGTTGTCGCCAGTTGGCTGTGGGCGACAGGCTCGTTGCTGTGAATGGTACTAGTATTGTTGGCATGCATCACAGTGAAATTGTCGATACCATCAAACAATCTGGGACCTCGGTTACTCTTACCATTGCACAGAAGCCTCTAGGTGCGTATCTTTCTTCCTTATGTTACCTAGGTCTAAGGTAGAGAAGCAATTCTCTTTGTATTTACTTTGGGCATTTACTTTGGCCTCGCGGCTGCGCAATGAGATGTTTTCAAAGAATGTATTGCGCATGCTCGGAAATTAAGTCACCGCTGCTTCTAGCATTTTGCGCATGTTCGAACATTCACCGCCTATCGAGCACCCCGGCGAATCATCACAACTTTGAAAAGACACAAAAACTAATAATCTCTATCAAAAGTTCCTTATCGGAAATATATTATGCGTAAATATTCGGCGTTAAAAATGATTAGAAATAAAATGTACAGCTCTAGCGCAAGCTAAACTACTTTAGTAAAAATACGCAGGTGATTATAGAAAATCTTGCGCGCTGATTGGTCAAGAAACTCACACTATCACACGATAATCACCTCGAGCGAAAATCCAAAATGGCGGCCAGCCGCTTTGTTGCTGTTACCGGGAAAAAATGCCTTTTATCTTCTTTTTTTCTCTTTTTGAAAGAATCACCTGTGTATTTATGCTAAAACAATTATTTGCCTCAGGCTCAGTGATTATTGGGGGATATTTACCTCGCCGCTCGAAGACTCGCGTCTCGGTAAATATTCCCCGATAATCACTTCGCCTTCGGCGAATAATTGTTAAATAGTTACTTTACTCGTCTTTCATTTCCAGCAAATCTCCAGACATGCGCAGTACGTTATTTATCTTATGAATTTTACCCCTCATGTCTAAATGGTTCCTGTCCGACATTTAGGTGATTAATTAATTTTTTATTCTCGTTTGCAGAAAATGGAGAAGCAAAACTACCCTACAAAGTGAGTATTGAGTTATCTTTTGAATTTGTATTTGTGTCAAAATTTGTGAGTAAAAGATAAAGCATTTATGTTGTATATTTTTTCAGGTCAAGTATTCTAACATTTCCTTTTCCATTCTTTCAGAGCGCACCTAATGTTAACCGAATCGGTGATGGCTATGTTTCTGATCATGAAGATTACAGACGAAACAGCCAGGTAAGGTTGCCTTTAAGTTGTAGCACTGAGAGCCCAATTTACATTAAAAGTGAAAAGCAGGAATAAAAACTTGGAAAAATGGACTTTTACTATAATTTTTTTTTAACTGAAGGTCAAGATATTGTCCACTATGACACAAATGAGCGAAAAAATCAATGAAAAATGCACTAGAACATTTTGTGCCGGCGCGCCTTTGTTTTCCTATGTAATTCCCCCATGGTATCCTTTGTCGTCGATATGCATAAATTATTATAAACACATGATTTACATAGGAAAGTTAAAACTTCATGCGTCAGTATATATAATCCCGTTCAGGAAATCTTGAAGATTTATATTCTATTGTGATTGTTTTCCGCAGAGGAGCTTCGATAGGCAGAGAGAAGAAGAAGAAGCTTTGGAAAGAGAGCGCGAGAGACGCGAACGTGAAGAAAGGAGGCTGCAAGAGGAAAGGAGGAGAGAAGATGAAAGGAGAGAGGCAGAAAGAAGAGAAGCAGAGAGAAGAGAAGAGGAGCTGAGACGCGAAGAAGAAAGGAGAAAAGATGAAGAAAGAAGATGGCGCGAGGAACGAGCGGAGGACAGACGTTGGGATGAAGAGCGAAGGCGACAAGCTGATAAGAGAAGATTTGAGGAAGAAAGGAGACAGCCAGGAAGGATGGGATTTGATGATAGGATGGAAGTCACGAGGAGAAGGGAGGACGAAACAAGAAGAGAAGAAGAAAGGAGACGAGAAGAAGAAAGAAGGCGAGAGGATGAAAGAAGGCAAGAGGATGAAAGAAGGCGAGAGGATGAAAGAAGGCGAGAGGATGAAAGAAGGCGAGAGGATGAAAGAAGGCGAGAGGATGAAAGGAGAAGGGAAGAGGATAGAAAACGAGAAGAAGAAAGGTTAGAAGAAGAAAGGAAACGAGAACAAGAAAGGATAGACGAACGAAGACGCGAGGAAGAATTCAGAAGACAAGAAGCTCTTCGTAAGCGCGAAGAGGAAGAAAGACTTCAGGAAGAGCTGAGGCGAAGGAACGAAAAGATCCAAATGCAAGAAGACGAAGCTCGAAGACAAGAAGAACGTAAACGAGAAGAAGAAGAACGAAGACGACGAGAAGAGGAACAAGCCAGACAACCTAAGAAGGCACCTCCTCCTGTACTCCCAAAGCCTTCCAAGGCTAAAATACAACAGGCGAGAGAAGAACGCCATAGCGTGCGTTATGGCACAATGCCCGCGCGCCCTGCACCACAGGACACCCGATACAGGAGACATTCCGGCGGTGATTTCAAACCTGAACCACCTTCACGCGCCTTCAACTCGCGGGGAAAGAGCGAGAGTGACCTCTCGCGAGCATTTCGAGGGTTTGACGATAATGATGTCTTTGAAGTTGAACTTCACAGGAAATCTCAAGGATATGGATTCAGCATTCGAGGAGGCCGTGAGCTGAATATGCCCATATATGTTCTCAAGATTGCCGAAGGAGGGATAGCTGACCTTGATGGCCGTATTAATGTAAGAATCACAAAACTAAAACCTTGGGGGGGGGGGGGAAAGTAAACATCGGTTTTATCAAACCCGGTGAAAATCATTGGGTTGATCGAAGTCAGGGCACGCCGCTCAGATCGGATTGAAATTTAGCGCGTTTGCTTCGACTTGCGTGTTCAACCCTGTGCAAAAAGCAAATTGGCTGAATTTATATTTGAGTAGAATTTCTTTTTGTTACGTTTATTACCTTCCCTTGAAAAAAATAATATGGCTACTATTCACTCTCAACCTGGAGTATCAATAAGTAATTGATAAAAAATATTTTACACTCTAACATGAGAATTCTTCGAGCAACCTCCATGAGTTTTTTTTGTTTTTGTTTTTTTTTTAATGCGTAGACAATCGCACAGAAACAGCCCAAGCTTTATATCTCCCCACAAGATAATAAATATACTTCATGTCTTATAATGTCTGTTGTTGTAGGTTGGTGATGAGATCCTGGAAATCAATGGACGTAGCACCAAAGATCTTCTGCACACGGATGCTATTGGAATGATCAGAGGAGGCGGCAGAGTCAGACTCACCCTCAGGAGGAGCCTCAGAAACCCTCCAGTCTTCGGTACGAAAAGAATTGATAATTAGCTTTCACTTGACTGTATGCCGGAAAGGAAGAAATGTTTGAATTTTCATGCTTCATCTCGCCTTGTTTTTCACCTCCTTGTCCTTCGCCCCTACCTCCTTCCCATCCTCCCTTTGCCCTCCTTATCCCCCTTCTTCTACTCTTTCCCCTCTCTTTTCCTTCTCCTTCATCCCTCTACTTCCCTTCCCTTCTTCCCTACTCCCTTATCTTTTATCCTTGTTCTTGTACTCACTTTACCTTTCTTCCTGCCAAGGCCCTTCCCTACCTTTGCACACGGCATTCTTGTAAAACAGTAACTTTATTCTTATTTTGATATTTGACGGATAATTTTCCGTGTATGAATAAAGTTATCTATCTATCTATCCTTACCAACACTAACCTTATTATCTTCTAGTATTTTCATTCATTATTTTCTTTAATATTCTAGACGATTATCTTCCAAATGGAGGTCCTAACAGAAGCCTATCTCGCAGCCATCAGCAAGGACGTCCCAGCTCCGGCTCCTATGAGCACAGCCGTCCACTATCGTTTTACTAGAAACAAACCAACAAAACCTTTGCACCAATCACGGCACGTCTCCAGCAAGAAACGTACTATGCACTAAACTCGTGCCCGTCACAGAAAGTCTTCACGTCACATCAAACACAAACCACGTCGGGATGTTTGATGCGTATCGCTCTTCAAGGACTAAGGAAGCTTGGCAAGTACGAAGAAGCGATGAAGGAATGCCAAATGAAGTATTTTAAAAATATTTTTATCAAGATGAAACCGCGAGGTGTTCTTGGTAAAAGTAACTGTGACAAAATTGCACACTTCCGGTGGAATGGATACCGACCATGTATGGTAATCAACCCCTAACAAATAATCAAACCCTATCAAAAACAACCAATCAGAGCACCGTATACAATTGGCAAGGAATTAATGTAAATTGACAAATGGTTTGCTTACGTCATAAACAATATATGCTATTGGCTGGAAATCACGTTCTATATCCCATCACGTGATAAGCAGCTTTAAAAATCTAAAGAAACGCAGCGTGGAAGAAAAAAATTCTAAGAAAACCAAACTAGTTTTAATTACTATATAATATACTATATACTCCTGATATTTTATCCTTTTTAAGGAAAAAAACATGTCTACATCTATGTTAAATTTTGAAGACGATTTTAGCCATTTACGAATCTTTGTAGTCCATTTTCTAAATACATAATGTAAATATTTCACAAAAGGCTTGTCGGATTCTCTAACTCGTACTTTTACAAAGCTAAACATATTTTTCTGCGAATTCTTACGATCTTTTACAAAGTAAAAGCCATTTGTAGTAGACTTTATATTTCTAATCGTTCTAGTTTTATCGCTAGTCTAGTTTTCAAATCAAACGGAGCATCCAATGATAATATCTATTAATCTAATTTTAATCATATATAGTTCAGTAGTATATTCGTTACCATCACTTAAGATGAATTTCGTATCATAGAGCAAATCATTAAATTTTTAAACTAAATTAGGACATAATTTCATTTCTTAAGCATTTAGTCATTTTACTTCTAGATTATATCATAGTGTTAAATAAAAGCTTAGACTTCGTTTTGTCTTGGTGTTTTAAATGAGTGTTTAAAAAGCAAAATCCAGCGAAGCATGCCTCCTGATCTTCTACTAAGGTATTTAATAAGCGCAACGGTGTTTCGAGATAAGTCGACAAATTGCATCTTGTGCAGTGCGCGGTTAGCGAATCTTTTGAGAAAATTAAGTTAAAGTTAAGGTAGAGCTATTCTCTAGTAGTGGACCTTGTTTTGCAAAAAAAAAAGATGTTGGCAAGAAATTGCATATCATCTTACCACCTCTRACTGTTTAACTTGCATTGCTGTGGCGCACTGAATCTTAGCTCACAGTTTCGACAGTGCATCAAGAACTTTAATTTTTAGACTTAAAGATTATAACTACTCTGCTATTTACAGTGCGCACAGAGTGAATACCATATATCCTTGAAAATAACAAAGTTGTACAAATTAGTGCAAAGTTTTGTAGGTCAACAGTCTGCTGAGGTCTACTGGACTTACTAATTTCTTTGTGTAGTTTTTTTACAAAGATTTCAAGGATATATGCTATGCACTCTATAATATTTACCATGCACTAATTTGCCCTTTTGATTGGCTTGAACATCCCGTTCGGATTCCTGGAAACGAACCGCAATTCAAGTGTCTAGAATTACCCAAGCAATCCTAACGGTTTTGGACCTCCATTTACCTCTTTCAAGCTTGTGAATAAGTCTAAGGTCATCTGGCAAAAATCTTGGCAAACACTTGAAGGAGCTCAAAGTTCTAAATGTTTTCAGTCAATATTTTCGTCCTGCGATCAAATAACGTTAGCTAACCTCAGCTGTGTTAAAATGGAAGGGCACTCTCTTGATCAAACATTCTAAGTATCAACACCCAAAGTTCTAAGAGTTTCAGTCAATATTTTCGTTCGGCGATCAAATAACGTTCACTGACCTAACCTCTTTTAAAATGGAAGGGCACTCTCTTGATCAAACATTCTAGGTATCACCACCCAAAGTTCTAAGAGTTTCGGTCAATATTTTCATTTGGCGAATAAAACCATTACTAACCTCATCTAATAATAAAAGGGCACTCTCTTGATCAAACATTTTAAGTATCAAACGCGCGCTGTCGAATTTCCGCTACTTTGCGTTTTCATTAGGAGTAAACCTCGTCGATTCTGTGCGTCGAGTAGGCGCACGGTTGTGGTTTTCAATCTGTGCGCTTTTCCTTTTACTGCAACAGAAAATAAATCTGAGGATTTTTGCGAAAGCCTTTCTGTATTCATCATTCCTTAAGCAGTAGAGCGCTGGATTCACAGCCGATGAACTCAAGGCGATAGTCCTTGCCCAGTCGTAGAGAACTCCGTAATTTTTCTTGGGAGCCGTGACGCGTAAATAGAATATAGGTATCCATGCTACAGTGAATACCGCGATGATCATCGCTATGGTGACGGCGAGCCTTCTCTCTAAAGCTTGCGAAGCCTGCGACGGACCTTCCCTGTATGCAGCAAGGTTGCATCTTTCTCGTCCTTGTTTCTTAATCTGGATGAAAATGAGCAAATAACAAACTGCCAGGAGAATGTAACTGCTACCAAATAAGCCAACTGTTACGTAGGACGTAATTTTCTTGCTCACATCGATTCTGATGTACGTATAGACTCCAGGAAGAACCCAGGAAGCCACTAACATAATGTAGAACTTGGTTGGAGTGATGATTGACTGGTAATTGAAAGGTTTGGTGATCGAAACACACCGATCAATACTGATAAAGCAAAGCGTGACCAGAGATACCGCACACGACACGTTACCTACGATACGAAAAGCAAGCTCCACTTGCGGGAAACAGAGACTTTTCGATCTTCCCCACAGCATCACGACTAACAATGGCTGATCAATAAGATTGATGGACAAATCAGCCACTGCAAGACTACAAATAAAGTAGTTGGAGATTCGTTGTAGACTGGGGGTTATCATCACTGAGACACATACTAAAATGTTCCCCCACGTGCCAAAAAATCCTACCACGATGTTGAGGACGAACATGGTGAACGCCATCTCGAGTGGTAATTCGCATCTTGACTGGTTCGTTGATAGCGTTGGTGGCGCCGAAGAACTTGAGTTGAAAATATTCTCAATCCTCATGTTTGACTCCATTCTTATAGCCGTATAATGAGTTAAACAGCTTGACTTAAGTGACTTGCGCAATACTTAGTACAGTCAATTTCTAAGATTCCAACCCAACTAAGAATCTTTTAGAAGAATCAGGGACGTTAAATCTTATATTCTCCAGTCGTTCAGAGCTTTGTATTCAATCAGTCACTCAAAAGGGTCAGTCAAACAGTACATCATTATATTCACTTGGACCAACTTCCGGTTCGAATAAACTAATGATGACGTCATAGCTATTTGGAAAGTGAAATCATTAGAATAATCTTTCGTTTCTGTGGTGATTGTGGTGATCATGCTCTCATGTCGCTCACTCATCATGAGTATCACTGCATGTTGTGGACATAGACTTTGAAAATGAATCAGTTTTGAGTTTCAAATGAACAAACCTTCAGACACGAGGAATCAGTAAGGTCATACTCTTGCTTTCGAAACAAGCCAATTTTGGGCCGTATCCAAGTACACTCGAATGTATTTTTGAGACTAGCATTAGTCATGGAAAATTTATTTCAAAAATCAGAGTAATATTGCCTATTAGCAAGGTCGAAAACTGGGTCGGCTTGGCATTGCATTGATCAAGATGTTAGTTCTTATTACTGAGTTTGTTTGTAAAAATACACCTAATTGAAAAAACGTAGTCGGGTTCGAGAAGGTCATATCATTGAAGCTAAGGCCGAAAAAGATTTTGGGTACTCCGAAACGGACATGTAAAAATGCACAGTATAGCAAAGTCGGTCGACCTAGATTAACAACATGCCAAAGCCATGATGCATAAAATGTGCCCAGGAAGGGAAAACTGCAATACGCATGAAATTAGCATAATTGTTCGTCTTCCCATGCTCCCCTTCGGTCTTAGCTTTGATGATATAACCTTTTTTTGAACCCGACAATGTTTTTTCAATTAGATGTATATACATGGCGGCTAGTTTTTCAAAACGCATCCCACATGGAAAGGAATGACCATGTTACGTTAGTTCTTAGTGTTACAAATCACACAGCAGGTTTGCTGGTCATAGCAAGGGGTTAATCATCTATGGTCTAGGGGCCGACTAACCTCTCCCTTAGGCTTTTGCCGAGCTTCCTGATCAGTCTTAAATGCTTCGCGCTACCATACAACGCTTCAGCATTCGGGTCTGGGAGTATGGTCTCCGGTTATTTTTGATTCATCACTAAAGATAAAAATAATACAAAAACCAACCACCCTACGACTAATGATAGCAAATAAGCATTTTCGGCTTTCGCTACTTGGATTTCTTCATTTTTATTTTGCTCTCTAGTACCAAAAAGCATATTTTTGCAATGATTGACGTAACAAGTGCATAGTCTTGGTCGGTCTCATTCATTATCAGAAAATGATATGTTTTTATAAAATTTGTTTTATTCGACTTTTTACGATTCAATTTTTATCGAACCCTGAAACGTGTTTGAGCTTTTGTGAAGGAGAAACGTCAACCCTTTCGAATCAAGATAGGAGAGAGCTAGACGACAGGTTGTCATTTCACTTTACTTTATAATCAGAAGAAAACATGCAATTAATATTTGCACAATAAATGACCTTGCACTAAAATTTAGATTAAATTTGAAGTTGGCAAAACCGATGGCCTAGATGAGAAAATACTGTGAAGTCCTTAATATCGTAATAAAGAGTGTGTCCTCCTAGAGTGACACGATAGCCTAACCTGCGCTGCTTTTTTAGGACGGCTTATGTGTCATCGTACTTGGCATGGTTTATGACAAGAATCAGACGGCAAAAGCGAATGAACCAATCACTGTCACACCAGTAGCTGGCATTTTTCCTAGTAAAACTTTCTTATCCCACAAACAACAAAGAATACCTGTCTTAAAGGGTACTACAATGATTACAAGGACATATATTCTTTCATTTTTATAGAACTTTTAGTAATTCAAACACATAATCAAATTTCCGTGGTCAGAGTTTGAATCCGAGTCTGTTTAAAGGGGACACAAGCAGGGTAAAGCTTATGGGGCATAACAACGTTAACTTAGAGAAGCCCAAGCAATGAATTTCTCTTAGCACTCGATCGGATCGTGTATCGTGATTTTCGTGATTTCTAAGGTCTTATGAAATAGCAAGAGACCATTAGAAGGAAATAGCTATTCATGATTCTGAATCATGGTTCTGAAGCTTTGTTTCCGCTGGTTGTTCATTTTTGGCACGTATGATTGGTTACCTTGGAGTGTCCGTCCGTTTCATTAGGACTGAATTCAAAGCTGCGTCATCTAAAGCTTTTTTTAATTTTAAGAAAGTGTCAATAAAAGAGCCCAGAAAACTTAATTAACACGTCTCAAACTGTTTTCGCTTTTGTAATTATATTTATTATTTCCAGCGGTTATGAGTTATTATTAATAATTTGATTAACAGAAGCCAAAAGACCAGACGTCTTGGGCTTTACAGGTGTTGGTCGCGTAACTAAAAAGAAATGAAAATGACAGAATCCCCAACTGGGGGGTTCTTCAGTGTTTATCACTGGGACCCATGGCTATGTAATGTCTGGTTATGATAGATAGTTAAAATTTCATGGTTTAAGAACTGTGCTTGTCGCTTTATTCATAAAATCATCGTATAATTCGGGAGTTCTTCAAGGTTCATAACTGGGACCACTGCAGGCCTTACAAAGGAATGGATAGGAAACAAAAGACTTTTCATTAGCATCCATTGTGAACGGCACCACAATGGCCGCCATGTTTTTATCTTTTGACTTTTCTTAGAAATGCTTTCAACTCCTCACTTGTAATATATGTGACTCGATCGAGGTGACAAAGTCAAATCAAATAGGACTAAAATAATGAATCTATACCACTTGACGTCTCATAAACACTGAATTATCTGCGTTTTGCTTTAACATAGAAATCGGCAAACCGTACTAAATATTGACTCATATGGTTGTTTGTCCTGATAGCATTATTTAAAAAATATATAATTCTCTTAACCTCGAAATTGACAGCTCCTTATTGCCGGACTTTTGTAAACATTAACAGCGATGGTTTTATTATTATGATTATTTTCTTTAGTTTTAATAACTTTTCATGATAATGTTGAAAAAGAAGATTGATCGATTGTAGTGTGGGTCGAGGTTAATTTTAACCATATTGCAATTTTCTTACTTCATTTGATTTTGAGTACTACCTTCCAAATACTAGTTTATTCAGACCATCCAAGCTTACGGAGACAAACGCTCCGAAAATCGTTTTTGAAAAAGGAAAAAACGTCGAGACGGTCGTATTTCAAGGATGAAGATTTTCTCTTATGTGATAGTTGTAACCTGGATAACGCTCTTGATTTCTTTCTCGGAAAACAAAGCACAGCTCGTAGGAAATACAACCAACATGACACTCAACATTTTCCAAGGTAAAGCGAGGAAATCCAAATGGAAAAACGAATGAAATAAAGCCAATGAATGAAATAGATAAATGGAATAAGCAAATGATTGGAATGGAAAGAATGAAGGAATTGGAGGAAGGAAGGAAGGAAGGAAGGAA